GGATAGGGGCAGGGGAATAAGATAGACTGGGGGGGGGGATAGGATATAAACAGTGGGAATAAGATAGACTGGGGGGGGGGGATAGGATATAAACAGTGGGTATAAGATAGACTGGGGGGGAGATAGGATATAAACAGTGGGAATAAGAGACTGGGGGGGGGGGTATAGGATATAAACAGTGGGTATAAGATAGACTGGGGGGGGGGAGATAGGATATAAACAGTGGGAATAAGATAGACTGGGGGGGGGGGATAGGATATAGGCAGTGGGAAGACCGGGGGGGGGGATAGGACTGGGGGGGGGGGGATAGGATATAGGCAGTGGGAATAGGATAGACTGGGGGGGGGGGAGATAGGATATAAACAGTGGGAATAAGAGACTGGGGGGGGGGGGAGATAGGATATAAACAGTGGGAATAAGAGACTGGGGGGAGATAGGATATAAAACAGTGGGAATAAGAGACTGGGGGGGGGAGATAGGATATAAACAGTGGGAATAAGAGGGGGGGGAGATAGGATATAAACAGTGGGAATAAGACTGGGGGGGGGGGGGTGTAGGATATAAACAGTGGGAATAAGAGACTGGGGGGGGGGGATAGGATATAAACAGTGGGAATAAGAGACTGGGGGGGGAGGATATAAACAGTGGGAATAGGATAGACTGGGGGGGGGATAGGATATAAACAGTGGGAATAAGAGACTGGGGGGGGGGGTGTAGGATATAAACAGTGGGAATAAGAGACTGGGGGGGGTGTAGGATATAAACAGTGGGAATAGGATAGACTGGGGGGGAGATAGGATATAAACAGTGGGAATAAGAGACTGGGGGGGGGTGTAGGATATAAACAGTGGGAATAAGAGACTGGGGGGGGGGGTGTAGGATATAAACAGTGGGAATAAGAGACTGGGGGGGGGGTGTGTAGGATATAAACAGTGGGAATAAGAGACTGGGGGGGGGGGTGTAGGATATAAACAGTGGGAATAGGATAGACTGGGGGGGGTGTAGGATATAAACAGTGGGAATAAGAGACTGGGGGGGGGTGTAGGATATAAACAGTGGGAATAAGAGACTGGGGGGGGGTGTAGGATATAAACAGTGGGAATAAGAGACTGGGGGGGGGGGGTGTAGGATATAAACAGTGGGAATAAGAGACTGGGGGGGGGGTGTAGGATATAAACAGTGGGAATAAGAGACTGGGGGGGGGTGTAGGATATAAACAGTGGGAATAAGAGACTGGGGGGGGGTGTAGGATATAAACAGTGGGAATAAGAGACTGGGGGGGGGGTGTAGGATATAAACAGTGGGAATAAGAGACTGGGGGGGGTGTAGGATATAAACAGTAGGAATAGGATAGACTGGGGGGGAGATAGGATATAAACAGTGGGAATAGGATAAGGGGGGGGTGAGGGTAGGATATAGGCAATGGGAATAAGACGGGGGGGGGGGGGGGTGAGGGTAGGATATAGGCAGTGGGAATAGGTTAGAATATCCTCCCTCCAGGATTAGGCTCTAAGGCCAGGAGCTGGAGTACACACAGCGGCTGCCTCCCTTCCACCAGGAAGGCTGGGTGCCGCGCCCCCCCGACACCTCCTGGAGGTCCCCAGCTACAAGAAAGGAGCACACTGCATCCGGGGGGGGGGGGCTACACATCACCAGCCTGGCCCAGGATGGAGCCACACAGCTGGGAGGAGGAAGTAGAAGAGCTGCATGTCATCACATCCATGGCCAGGCCACACAGCGAATGACAGGAGGGGCCCAGGGCCACATGGGGGAGGGGCATGCAGGTTGGGGGGAGGTGTATCAGGGTTCTAAAGGGTGCAGGGGCCTTGTCTGCACGGACGGGCAGTTTCCAGGCCGGCAGTGCGGGGTGCACAAGGTGCCAGGGCAGGGGCTCGTACTGTCCGGCATGCCGTAGTGAGGTGTCATGCGGTGGTGTCGCTCGGGTCACACGTACCTTCTGGGAGTTCTGCTGCAGGACATTCTGCTCCACGGTCATGGCCCAGCTCCTCCTCCCCTCCCGCCGGGGCTCACACAGCACACTACGCAGGGCTCAGGCCGGCCGGACGGGGACATGAGCCTGGGAGAGCCCGGCTACCGCCCGCTGTGCTCCCTCCTCTCCTCCGCCCAGCACCGACACCGCCCGAGTCTCCCCAGCGGCCGCACACAGCTCACCACTCCCACCGCTCACATGGAGAGGGCGGCCTGTGTGATCGCTCCGCCTTCCTGTGTGTGATCGCCACGCCTCCCCAATGACGGCCTCACTGATCTGCTTCCTCCTACTCTGTGTCTGCACCGATCTCCTCCCTCATTTTGTGTCTGCACCGATCTCCTCCCTCGCTCTGTGTCTGCACCGTTCTCCTCCCTCGCTCTGTGTCTGCACCGATCTCCTCCTTCGCTCTGTATCTGCACCGATCTCCCTCACTCTGTGCCTGCACCTATCTCCTCCCTCACTCTGTGTCTGCACCGTTCTCCTCACTCTGTGTCTGCACCGTTCTCCTCCCTCACTCTGTGTCTGCACCGATCTCCTCCCTCACTCTGTGTCTGCACTGTTCTCCACTCTGTGTCTGCACCGATCTCATTCCCCACTCGGTGTCTGCACAGTTATCCTCCCTCACTCTGTGTCTGCACCGATCTCCTCCCTCACTCTGTGTCTGCACTGTTCTCCTCACTCTGTTTCATCACTGATCTCCTCTCTCACACTCTGCCTCTGCACCGATCTCCTCTCTCACTCTGTGTCTGCACCGATCTCTCACTGTGTTTCAGCACTGATCTCCTCTCTCACTCTGCCTCTGCACCGATCTCCTCTCTCACTCTGAGTCTGCACCGATCTCTCACTCTGTGTTTCAGCACCGATCTCCTCTCTCACTCTGTGTCTGCACCGATCTCCTCTCTCACTCTGTGTCTGCACCGATCTCCTCTCTCACTCTGTGTCTGCACCGTTCTCCTCTCTCACTCTGTGTCTGCACGATCTCCGATCTCTCTTTCAGCACCGTGTCTCCTCACTCATCTGCACCGATCTCTCACTCTGTTTCAGCACCGATCTCCTCTCTCACTCTGTGTCTGCACCGATCTCCTCTCTCACTCTGTGTCTGCACCGATCTCCTCTCTCACTCTGTTTCAGCACCGATCTCCTCTCTCACTCTGTGTCTGCACCGATCTCCTCTTTCACTCTGTGCAGAAAACTGTAAAAGCAATCCAAGCTACTAAATGCCACTGGATTGCTTTTTACAGGCAGTGGAAGAGGGTCCCCAGCACCCCCCCCCCCCCTTCCACAGCCCCCCCCCCCCCTTTCCACAGCCTTCTTGGGCCCTCACAGTCCACTCTGGAGCCCCAGAATGAAGCTGGCTTGTGTTTACTAGCCAGTTACAGGCAAGTGAAGCAGCCAATCAAACTGATCTGTTCTGATCGGCAGCTTTGGAGGCCAGAGGAGAAATCTAATAGACCCCGATCTCTTCATAAGAGGACTTGTCACAGCTCACACTGTTCATCCCTTGTGACATCAATAAAGTTGATTTAAAAAAACAAAGTGTAATAAAAAATTTACATTAAAAAAATGTAAAACTCTCAAGCCCCTCCGTGCTTGCATGCAAAGGCGAACACATACATAGGACGTGCACACGTATGTAGATGGTGATGGCACAACACGTGTAGCAGGAGCAATACTTGTAGCCGCAGACCTCCTCTGTACTGCTGAACTGGTTACCTGTAACGGCTTTTATAGTGTGGCCTATGGAGATTTTTAACTGTCATTTGTCACCATTCCACACGCATGCACACTTTTTAAGACGTGTCTGTTAGGTGTCTATTTACTCAGCATAATATCAGCTTTTTTATTTTTTGTGAGTTTTACATTGCGTTTTTGTGCATTAAAACTCTTTCAAATATATTTTTTCCCCAAAAATTGCATTTGAAAAAACCTCTGCGCAAATACCATGTGACAAAAAAAAAATTGCAATAACCACCATTTTATTCTCTTGGGCGTCTGCTTAAAAAAATATATAATGTCTGGGGGGATTCTAAGTAATTTTCTAGCAAAAATATGCTGATTTTATTACATGCAAGAGAGAGGTGGCAGAATTGGCTCAGAAGGCAAATTGTTAAAGTTGAGCTGATGCTGAAACTATTCTCATTTTGGAGTAATGGAGGGTTAGAACCTCTGTCGATTTTTTTTTGCCATCTGTATCCCATTGGGGAAAGTTCTTTTCACTTCCTGTCCCATAGCTACAACAGGAAATTAAAGGAAATCCCTGCAAAGTGAGGGAATTTTTAGGGGTCACAGGAACTTGTGTCCCCATTGGAAGATTTCTCCTCTGTTCCTTTTCTGGTTTCAGCACAAAATTTGGGACTTTCTTTTACTTTCATTTTTGGTAACAGTAAACAGGAGAAATAAAGTGAATCTCCCTAATGGAGGCACAGGCTGTAATAAAACTGACAGGGGTTATAATCCTCTCCACTGTATCCAATATTTAAAAAAAATTTGCCTTTAGCTATACTTTAACCACTTGCTCTCCTGAGGATTTACCCCCCTTCCCGACCAGGCCATTTTTTGTGATACATCGCTGCATTACTTTAACTGACAATTGCGCAGTCATGCAACGATGCAACCAAATGAAATTTGTGTCCTTTTTTTCCCCACAAATGGAGCTTTCTTTCAGTGGTGTTTGATCTGCGTTTTTTATTTTTGTGCTATAAACAAAAAAAGACCGACAATTTTGAAAAAAAAAAATTTTTTTTTTACTTTTTGCTATAAAACATATCAAGTAAAAAAAAATCAAATTTTGTCATCAATTTAGGCCAAAATGTATTCTGCTACACGTCTTTGCTGAAAAAATTCCCAATACATGTAAATTAATTGGTTTACGTGAAAGTTATAGCGTCTACAAATGGCGGCGATCAGTGACTTATAGTGGAACTGCGGCGGGCATTCTGACACTGGGGGGGGGGGGGGGGACTGACTTGGTGTCACTGACTTCCCCAGTGACACTAATACAATGATCATTACTAATGAAAAGCACTGCCACTGTACTACTGACACTGGGCAGGAAGGGGTTAACATCTGGAGCGATCAAGGGGTTAGCTGTGTGTGCTTTACTAGGGAGCAGGGGTGGACTGACAACTCATGGGGCCCCCGGGCAATAGGGGATCATGGGGCCCCTGTGTCCTTGCCCAAACTCAAAAAAGCCTATGAAAAAGGTACCAGGGGCATCTCATGGGGCCCCCTACTGACCCCGGGCCCTCGGGCAGTGCTCGAGTTTCAAAATGGTCAGTCCGCCCCTGCTAAGAAGACATGCTGTTTTGTATTGCTCTGCTATGCAGAGCAATATAAAGCAGCTTACTGGAGCTGACAGGAGAGAGATCTGTATTGTTTACATACAGACCTCTCCACTGTCAGTGATACTCGGCAATCGATGGGTGTCGGTGAGGACTCTCTGGCCGGGACCTGATGATTGACAGCTGTAGCTGCCAAAAATAACTTTTACATTCATTATACAGCACCCCACACCTTGTCCCAATCAATGGTTTCCCATTGAAAGAAATTAACCACTAGCCTACAGGGCACTTTCACCCCCTTCACTGATGATGCTGCACTGATATGCAGCACTGATGGCCATTGATAGGCGGCAATGATGAGCACTGATTGGCACTGATAGGTGGCACTGACTGGCAGCACTGATGGTCACTAAAGGGTGGCACTGATGAGCAGCACTGATGGTTGACACTGATGGGCACTGATAGGCGGCACGGATGAGCACTGACTGGTGGCACTGATTGTCACTCATGGGTGGCACTGATGGGCGGCATTGATGGGCACCACTGCTGGGCAGTTTTGGGGCTGCACTGATAATCAGGACACTGCAGATGTCCTATGTGACACTTGCCAGTTATCGGCAGTACTTTCCTCACGCTGTGACAGTATAAGGAAAGTATTGCCGATAACCAGCAACTGTATTTACTTTGTGATCAGCGGCAGGGGCGGACTGACCATTTGGAAACTCGGGAACTGCCCAAGGGCCCAGGGTCAGTAGGGGGCCCCATGAGATGCCCCTGGTACCTTTTTCATAGGCTTTTTTGAGTTTGGGCAAGGACACAGGGGCCCCATGATCCCCTATTGCCGGGGGCCTCATGTGTTGTCAGTCCACCCCTGATCAGCGGTGTCATTTGACACATTGATCATAGACAGCGCCGGGTGCGCGCCACTGAGGGCACGTGGGGGGCACATTCTTGGAGGACGCCATATGACACCCTCCCAGAACTGGACAATCACGTTGTAGCCTATAGCGCAGTTGTAAAGTGTTTAAACAAATGCACCTGCCACTGCTTATAGCGCCAAACGCTAGGCGCTTCTTAGTTGTTGACTTGTTGGCCCATGTTTACCATTTACATTTCTACCATCATACAAATAGGGAGGGGTCCATAGCTTTCATCAGATTCCAAAAGGGGTCAATGACTCAAAAAAGGTTAAGAGAGATTTTTACCCCATTCCCTGTCCTGATGACAACAGTTTCTCCGCTGTCTGGTTTTGACAGGTACCTGCTCCCACTTCCGGCTCAGTTTGCGAGTGAGCCGGAAGTTCGGCCCCCTCCTCCCTCCTGCAGTCTCCTCAGAACTTTCACAGGTCCCAGGAGACTGCCGGACCAATTAGGAAGCACAGCACAACTTGCGCATGCGCAGTAGGCACCAGGCTATGAAGCCGCAAGCTGTCACAGCCTGGTGCCCACAGTTAAGATGCTGGCTCCGTGGAGGAAAGAAGAGTAGAAGGGACAGAGTGGGTGAGAACATCGCTGGACTCCGGGACAGGTAAGTGTGTGTTTATTAAAAGTCAGCAGCTACAGTTTATGTAGCTGCTGACTTTAGCCTGGGTTCACACTGATGCGGTGTGGAATTTGCAGTGGTTTCTGCGCGAATTCCGCACCGCATCAGAATTGCACCCCATTCATGCGAACCGCTGCAGGTGTGTATGTTAAGTTAACAACACCTTGAAATCGGTTTGCAAAATGTGGTGCAATGTGCAGAATTATTATTATTATTATTATACAGTATTTATATAGCACCAACAGTTTGCTCAGCGCTGTACATTACAATGGGAGACAGTACAGTAACAATACAATTCGATACACGAGGGGTTTGAGGGTTCTGTTCCTTGGAGCTTATAATCTAGGAGAATCAGATCGCATGGTTGTGAATACGATTCTAGTGTGGACCAAAAAAAAAGGGTCCTGCGCCATTTTGGTGCGAATGCAGTGAAATTTGAGCCATACAAAATATATGGCTCAAGTCGCACCACACAAAATTCGCATGTGCTTTGCACAGGAATGCGGTGTGGTTCTTGTGTGAATCACATTCTCTATGCCACACCACACAAGTGTGAACCCAGGTTAATAAACACAAAAACGTCTGGAAGTCCACTTTACCGTGAAGGATCAGAGATAAGCTGATGTAGACTTACATCTGGCCGCCCATAGAGCTGTCACGGGTCCGCCTGCGTCCCCTGCGTCAAAAAGATGACATCTATCCTGTTTGGCTCTGATGGATCCCCTGCCAATTGGAGTGGACTCCGCTTCATGTGAAAGAAGCTGTGTCTTCATTCACAGAACAAACTCCTTCCAGTGAGATGTTATAATTCATTCCATTCCTGAGCTCAGGGCAGAACATTTCCACAATGATACATTGTATACTTTCACCATACTGGCCACTTCAGAGTCCCCTGTCATTCTGTACATCCCCAGCATACCGACTGCCTGTGACATGAGTTTAGTGTATTGACTTTAAGCCCGGATTCACACTGATGCAGTGCAAAATTCACAGCGGTTTCTGTGCAAATTCCGCACCTCATCACAGTCGCACCCCATTCATGCGAACCGCTGCACATGTGTACTTTAAGTTAACAACACCCCCAAATTAGTTCGCAAAAGGCAGTGCGATGTGCAAAATCCGATCGCATTGGTTTGAACACCCTTTCGATCCAATTCTGGTGCGGACACAAAAAAGGGTCCTGCACTTTTTTGGTATGGATGCGGTGTGATTTGAGCCATACACAATGTATGGCTCCAATCGCAACGCACAGAAATCTCATGTGATTTGCAATGGAATTCGGTGCGGTCCCTGTGCAAATCACATGCAATCAGTGTGAACCCGGGCTTACTGTTTATATATAATTTTTGGTCTATTTACCTCACATTTCTAACAAATTTGTGGCATTTACTTTTTTACAAATTTTTTACTTTGATGAATTGACCCTTTTTTCTATATCATATAATATTTAGGGCCAGTTCACACTACTAGCATTTCAGTTGCTATTTTTTCTGCATCCAAAACTCACAGAAAGTAGGTGATATGGTTGTCAATGTCATAGTTCACATCAGTGCTTGCAGTTCCAGTGCGTTCCGGATGCAGAACAAAATGTAGAACAGGCTTCATTTTTCCTGCACAGAACTGTACTGGAATGCGGGAAAAACGCACCACAAACACACTGGAACACACTGAAACCAATCAAAATGCCCCAAAAATGCACTAGAACGCACGTTCCTATTTAAATTGAATAAAAAGAGAAGGGATAAAATAAACTGGTACTCATCGAAAACATGCCAAAAATGCGTAAAAAACATGCATGCAGAAACGCATCTGGACTGTGCTTCTATAGTACGAATCGATCCTTAAAGTGCTAGAAAACTTACCTTGTTTACTTGTACCTACAGGTACGTCTAAAATAAGGATTACCTGTAGGTACAGTAAATATCTCCTAAACATGCACCGTTTAGGAGATATTTACCATAGTAGCAACCGGAGTGCCGTCCATTGAGAGAGCCATGACACGGCTGTGGTGCAGGAGTGACGTCATCACACCTCGGCCAGTCAAACAGCTGAAGCCCACGAACCTGGAAGGAAGACCAGGTGAAGATGGAAGCCCTGTTAGTGGTGACAGCATGCCGTTGGAGGGCTTTGTTCCAGGGTAAGTCTTTCATATTGTGCTAGTATGCAATTCATACTAACACATTATGCTATTTTGTTTTCGCATTATGCTATTATGTTTTTGGCAGTTTACCTCTGTCTTAAAGGGCCACCCGCCTGCAATGTACTGCAATGTACTGCAATGTACTGCGGATGGGCGGCCTGTGAAGACAAAGCATTATACCGGTACACCGTTTTAAAGTTTAAGGCGTGCACATATGTGCTCTCCCTGCCGACACCTGCTGTGATTGTCTGTCAGCAAGTCACAACCAATGAATTATGTCCAGGACCTGCTGATCAGCTGTGTCCAATCACAGCCCAGAACCCTGTGTTTGTAATCAACACAGGGCTCAGTAAAGTGGGAAAATTCTCTCTGTTTCTTATTCTTGCAAAGCAGGAATAAGAAACAAAGAGATCTGTTAGTCAAAGCAGCACACATTACACATTGTTAGGCATACATTTAACCCCTTGATGTTGACCCCTTCCGAGCCAGTGTCATTTGTACAGTGACAGTATATAGTATTTTTAGTGATCAGTATAGTCAGTTCTCCTCAGCGTCAGATAGTGTCAGATTGCCTACTACACTATCATAGTCCACTACACTATCATAAGTTGCTGATCATCGCCAAAATTCCACTATATATATATATTATATATATATATATATATATATATATCAGGGGTGGACTGACAACTCATGGGGCCCTGGGCAATAGGGGATCATGGGGCCCCTGTTTCCTTGCCCACACTCAAAGAAAGCCTATAAAAGGTACCAGGGGCATTTCACGGGGCCCCCTACTGACCCCAGGCCCTCGGGCAGTGCCCGAGTGCTTGAATGGTCAGTCCGCCCAGATATATATATATATATATATATATACTATAGTTTTTAGATGCTATAACTTTCATGCAAACCAATCAATATACACTTTTTGGAACTCTTTTTTTTTTTTTTTACCAAAGACATGTAGCAGAATACACTTTGGCCTAAATCTATGAAGAAATTTGTTTTTTAATTTTTTTTATTGGATATGCTTTATAACAGTAAGTAAACAATATTGTGGGTTTTTTTTGTTTATATAATAACAAATAAAAAACCCAGTGGTGATCAAATACTTCCAAAAGAAAGCTTTATTTCTGTGAAAAAATGTATGCATTTCGTTTGTGTACAGCGTTTCATGACCGCCTGATTACCAATTAAAGTAGTACAGTGCTACAACCTCTGGAAAAGCTAATGTGCGAAAAGCGTGGGACCCCTGCACCCAGTTCCTAAGATTGATATACTCTGTGATCTTTCTAATGCTTTATGTGCTATTATGCAATGAATTAT